CACCCACACGCACGCACACACACACACACACACACACGCACGCACGCACGCACGCACGCACGCACGCACGCAAGCACGCATGCACGCATGCAGTTTTCCCTGGCTCTATTGAGATCGCAACGACTATTTGAAGGTCCGGCAACAGGCTACAACCGAGAAGATGCTCGTCAACCAAAATAAAATGAAGCAAAAGCGAGCCAGCAAAATACGTAACTCCATCGACTCCACCTGCCTAGATACATGTACAAGATTGTATGTGTATCGCACTGTATCGCATGAGACCGCAGCATAAAGGCAGCGACCACGCGGGGCGCTGCCAAAACTGCACCACAATGCTGGTCGCGGGAGGGGCCCCCCTAACCCCATCATGTCCCCCGCCACTCCCCGCTCCACTACGACGTCTTGTTTGGGCTCTTGGTCTCCCGGCTTTCCCGTGTCTATTCTTCGCGTCTGTGTGATCTGGTCGTCCATGGTCGTCCCCTCACTCATCCTTTTAGCCGTTCCTGCCTCTTTGTCGTTCAGTGGTCATCCCTGTGCTTCGGTCTCGGACTACAAGTCCTGTTGCGTTATGTTTCATGGTATCCTGGTCGGCCCCTGTGGTTTGCGTTTTTGAATTGGTCGTTTTCCTCGATGGGAATGCAAACAGCTGTGGTTCCAGCTACTTGTTGTTAGTATTTCATTCTACTACACCAATGGTCGTGTTCCTCTTTCCGGGCAGGCTGTGCCTCCACCACGTGGTGATGCCGTTCCAGCACCCCCTGTGTACAAAAGCACTGCTGCCATCGTGACATGGAACCCTGTGGTTTGGTTGGTGGGTTCTCCTGCGGTGCGACATATCCCACAACCTATGTCAACATGACATGCGAAGTTGCGCCGCGTGCCGAGAATTTATGAAAGTCACGGGCAACGTGACACCAACAGGTCCAATCCCAGTGGTGTTTAACGATGACTGTCAACAGGGTCGCGGCCCCAACGGGCTCCTCTTGGGGGTCGATGCTGTGGCTGTTGTGACAGGGGTGGGGGGAAGGGGTTGAGGGTGGGATACCATGGAGGATCGGGGCGATCTCTGTGGGTGTCGTCGTTTCTGCATCTTGACATCATGTTGATGCTTCCAAAAACACTCACAAAGATGGGTCAGTAAGGGTCGCGATCCTCGCGACTGTTGTCGTTCCATGGATCTCGATATCACTGCGCATAAAGACAAACTACATGATTCACATGATCCACACTCACATGGCTCCACCCACGAAAGAACAAAAGATTGAACACTGAACCCAATATAATTCCAAGCCAGGACTGGCCATGCCCACGCGAGAGATGGGGATTCCTGAACCCAAACCCACATGCGTGGAACGGGGGTTTAGACCTCGAGCAGGCTCATGATCAAAAACGGTGATGTCTCGGCTTTTCAGGGGCGAAGCCGTCTCATTCGGGAATGGTGGGGACCAGGACAGCGGCACCAGCTAGATCCTCCGGCAGCACGAGGTCCAGCAAACTGCTGCCCCGAGCAGCCCAGTAGTTGAAGTTCTCCACGGCGCCAACGGTTGCCTCCGCTGCGATCCTTGGTGGCACATTTGGTGGACCGACTGCACTCATTTCGGGATGCCACAACATTCTCTGATACTCTCTGCTTCCGTAGGCATCAGTAAAGTAAAGATGCTCCGAATAGCAGTTGAAGCTAGCCTGGTGCAGCGTTTACATGACACCGGCCATGACACTCTTGAGTTCAGCTGTGTGCTGGACACTCACTGTGCAAACAACCCTGCATACAGCTAATAGCAGGCTCCATTTACGATCCCTGGAGACTCGCTCAAGCTGAGAGTCTCGAAATGAAAGGCAGTGCCACTGGGCAGGGCGAATGCTTGGATTCGCTGGCCCGGTTTCGGTTGCCGCGGCAATGCCAATGTAAATCCCAAGTTTTCAGCTCGAATGTGCATCCAGACTTCTGACAACAAGACATGGAGCTTCTGCGGTGCCTCAGCGAAAGCCACGGTGACCTCGATCGTTCCTGGCAAAGCGCTGGCATGCATTGGCGATGCTTGCTCACAAGCTTTAACTGGTGCTGTGTGGCAGTGGACGAGCACGTGTGCCCACGGAACAAACGCCGGCCAGGAAACTTGCAGATAAAACTTGCAGGCCAAATGTCCGTCATCACGCACGACCACACGAGAAGCGGGCGCTACCAACCTCGACTTGCATTGACTTGCGGTGCCTTGCCACAGCCACTGCTTTGGCGTTGTAACTTTGCCATCAGTATCTGAAACTGACACTTATTCAATCATCCTGCCGTGTCCCGCTTTGCCCGAGTAGCATGTTTTCCAAGCGCTTGCCAACCTGTTTGGCTGCCTTGCCTGCGACGGAGAAGCCAACCCCAGCCTTAGCCACTTGGGAAGACGCATGAAGGACTAGGATGAATACACCCGATTACAGAGATCAGGCAAACCGCACGTCAGCACGGAAAAGATGACACGCTGCCTGGAGAGTGGGGAGAACTCTGAATGCAAGGGAAGGTACAGGTGTACCAAACGCTGATCGTAGCTCGGGGAGCGCATCAGCAATCTCATCACCTAAAGCCCACGGCAAGGGACCCTAGTAAATCTGCGACCGTCTCTGTGCCGCTGTGCCACCCTTTGTCTTTCGCAGCACGGTCTCCAAGCCCAACTCAATGCTCTCTGCCGAAGCCGAGCTGGATCCCACCGTTGCAGGCAAAAGAGCTGCCGACAGGAAGGGCACCTCGTCGACGAAGCTTTCTTTGCGCAAACCTCGCGGTCCTTCGCAGAAAAACTGACTAGACCGCTGCAGAGATGATCGCGTCAGGCAGTCCGGTCCTGTGCGCCCGCCGAGCTGCTCGTGTAGGAAGGAATCCATGCGTCGGTACAAGTCCAACATGTTTTGCCGCACCACTCCGCCTCCTTTCCGCTCTCCAGCATATTGCACATATTGCAATGAGCGTGGCCAGTCTTCAGGGTCACAACCAACCGGGACCAAATTTGTAGCAAGCGGACCATTCGCATCATCACGTTCATACTCGACCAACATCATGGCCAAACCTTGCAGGTCTCCGACAAGACCTGCAGGCTCGAGGTTGTCATCTGACTCTGCGCTTTGACTAGGAAGGTATGGTTCTGACCATACTCCTCCAGGAGCAACTTGCTGTGGTGCAATGGCCACAACGCAGGCTGTCCAGTCTCTCAGCCTGGACGCTGTGTGCAGCGCAGCATACGCACCAAAGTAGCTGCCCAGGAGTGCCACCGGTGGCAGCTCTCCAGCTGAATTTTTGCCCAGTACTTTTCTCTCAACCATCGCCCACTCAACGGCGCGAGTAATATCCTCCGCAAATCCACGGCTGGCACGCCAAACTTTCCCAAACCCTGCAGAACCTCGGTAGTTCACCTTCCTCAGTGTACACGGACAACGATTGCCCAGGGATACCGTCAAGGCATGACAATTTCGCGGCTTATGCGGCTTGCGCACCTGCATCTGTTGGGTGTCCTCTGTATTCAGCGGGACTCGCTGAGTCTTACTTGAATGCTGTGTTCCTCAAATAGCTGCCAATTGCAAACCGATGCAACCAAGTTACAAAATGCCATACCCTCGACTGAGGAGCCATGCATCGAAACTGTCCGTACCCCAGCTATCGCGAAGATCGGGTCCATCATGCAACCGTACCACCAAGGCTGCCGCTCCTCATCGGTGGCGATGCACAGTCATGCAGAAGGCAGATTGCAGAGGCTGTGCACCGACCGCCCCGCCTTCTGACGGAAGCAGAAGATATGCGGGCACACTCGTGCCGCTGGTTGCATGTATCCTGTCCAGGTTCGAAAGCATCTTCAAACTTTACGACTGCAGCCCGAAAGCAACACCAAGGTCCAAGCGGCCCCTGACGGAACAAGCGTAATCGACAGCTGGATCTTCATGGTGCTTGCCGGCCTGTGACCCTCCAGCGTCGGCTTCAAAGCAGCTGCTGCAGAGTTGAGAGCGGCACCTTTCAGTTCACAGTGAAACACATGTGAGAATCATTTTCGGGCCTGGGAAATTTATCCTGCGTTGTTGAGCAGTTCTGACGTAAAGTCGTCCAAGTCACAGCAAGGTCATCCAATGGCTATGGCCCATGGCCCATTATGCTCAATCCACTGCAGCCACTAAATAATCAGCATGACTGGCAGCGCCTCTGGTCGGGAGAGCACGCCGTCCCAACCATGTGAACATGCCGCCTTTCACAACCTGAGACCGGCATCACACCGACTGGCCCGGCCATGCACCCAAACGCAGTGAAGGAACTGCGGGGAGAGCGACCAAATCAGACAGAAGAGGATGTGCGAAAAATGCCACACATCGCTCACCGTGCATCTGCCAGGCGACCAGCTCCATTCCAGCCTCGTAGCACAAGGTCACACCAACACTCGATGGCTGCACAAGCAGGCTAGAGCAAGCTAAACTCCACCATAGCCCAGAAATCTGGAACTAGGAGACAAGCCCACGCGGAGTGCGGAGTGAGGTTTTGACAGCATACTGTGCCAAACACCGTCCCGATCGCGACGATTCCGCCAGGGTGATGACGAGTAAGAACGGGTGCGAATTCAAATATTGCACTGCCGTGATGCATGCCTGGCTGTTTACAATGGCATGTTCCCCATCCTACTGTAGAATGAAGAATAATGGTGCTCTTCTTGTGTTGCTTGCAGTTCAGGAACAGCAGTCATGGGCAACGGTTCAAACGGTGTTCGGCTTCACGAAAATGAAATTTGTGGTGGGGCAGCATTGATGCAGCGCACCGGGTCATGGGCCAAATTCGCTCACTGCACACACAACATCCCAGGTTCATTTCCCCTTTCAACCTCCCGTCTAACAACATGAGCCACATGCACTGGATGACCAATAACCACGAGAGTATGTCTGACTTATTCGGCACGAAGCCCTATCACAAAGCGCACACCCCCGAAAAGCTTTAGATTCAAGTCAAGTCCCACCGTGCTGGCCTTGCCCAGGAAATTGTCACCAACAGATGTTGAATACAAACCAAGCACACGGTGCAGGCACGCCAGGACATGCAACAGGATGATGAGGGAGCGGCCAGCAATAACACCACGAATAAACGACCACATCATTCACGCACATCGGCAACTGAATATATTATGGACTATTAGTCGCCAACTAACCTCAGAGTCGGACTCGCGAATTCCACGGTTTCCCTGTCGTTTCCGGCCGGCTTGGGGAAGTACTGACTTCCACCCCTCAGCTCGCAGAATGGCATTTATGTCACAAGCTTCGGATGGCCAGAAGGGCATCGGTGGCATTCTGGCCACCAACTTCTCGGCCAGTGCACAAGTGCAACGAACAATTCGAGCGTCCCGTTAAGACAAGTGCAGCGCCTGACGACTTTCGAGCCATGGGGGCAATTTTTCCGCGAGAACAACAGCCTCTGCATGTTGCAGGTGCGCGTGGATCCGTCTAACCACTTGGCTCAGGGCTTGCGGGCAGCTCCCATCTCGATGCCATCACGATGGTAACACAACGAACACGCGGTTGAACGAACCCAGACTGAACGAACCCAGACTCCCAGACTGCAGACTTGGAGAAAGCCCTAAAGGATTTGCGTTTGTCCAACACTTTCGCCTTTCGCTCGCATGAACGTCGGCTGCAAAAGCTGAAAGAGCAAGGCTTGGTCGAAGGATGTCGAAACGAACTCCCACGCTGGCCTCCCACAATCTTCAGGCACCGAAGCTGCAGCATCGCTGGCCCCCCGCATGTCAATCATAGGCTGATGCCGTTTTTGCCAGAGAGAGAGAGAGAGAGAGAGAGAGAGAGAGAGACCCCCAAGCCATGAATGCAAGTCTCTCAGAGGTAAACCGCCTGACAACACCCACAAGGGCTACCCAAATGCTGTTCTTGGAGGGTCATGTTTGCGCCGGCCACACATCGACGATGATGCACGAAGAGCTGTCAGCAACAAGTTTCAAACTCTGGAGGACGACTTTCGAGCTCTTGGTTGGTCTCCCGGTCGTCGGCGAATCATTGCCGTGTCATTGGGGACATGGATAGTGGCTGATGTGAAAGGTTGGGTGATGGGGATTGGAGCTCGCTTGGAGGTCGCGCTCTGAATTGCGAGTGTAGGCCAACCAACGTTCGCAACCATCCTGCAGAGCACGCCCAGAAATTCAATCACCCCAACTACGGCATCGCCAAATTTAGCTGTGTGCATATTCTCAACCTGTTCAAGAAATGGTACGGGCACGCAAGGGACAGGGCGGTCACCATCGTGGACAAGCCAGCGCGGCACCCAAGACTCCACAGAAGTCTCCGCAACGTGTCGCTAATGCTGACGTGTCTCGCGCGCTGTACAATTATATAAGTGTCAGCCCTTCCAACTTGGCGATCATCTGCGTTAACGACGAACAATCAATAAGATGCGTTCGCTGGTTCTGAAACTAGCCACAAGTCGAACTTGTTCATGTCGTCAGTGCTTAACACGTCAATGCAGCGAGACGACCCCCAACGAAGAACGCATGGCATTTGTCCATCAGTGTGGGTGTCCTTATGACGCTGCGTGGGGTGGCGAAGAAAGCTGCAATCTGCCCAAGAGACGCCAGGTGCTTGAACCGCCAGGACAGGTGCGCACTTTATGACCCTGTGAGGCGATGTTGTAGGTGGCTGTGCGGCTCAGGAGGTTGTCCCGGGGCGGCTTTTTCGGCATGCATGGCGGCCAGGAGTTTTGAGAACCATCTCTCAGCATTGATTGTGCGGCACATGGGTCTGTGGTCTGGGGGCAACCGCCGTGTTGGTCCTGACAATTCTGCTGAAACCGCGCGCCTTGCAACATGCTGACACGACTGGCAAGCTGGGGGATTGCCTCCCTCGACGATGCTTCTTGGAGCCCGACCCCGCGTTCACTAAGTTGCACCAAATCTTCATCGCGCGGCATGGCTCACACTGATTCGGTTCTTTGGCAAAATCTGGATGCGCGTTGAACTTGCGACCAGGCTGAGAGCATGATGCTCGGAAAAAGAGGATCTGGCCAAATTCCTACAAACAAGCATCAAACCAGGGGTGGTTGCTAAAGCACTCGGCTGAACAATTCGCATCCGAAAGTGCTCAGGAGTTCAACAAGCTTCAAGACGGCCTTACCCAAAAAATGACCTGAAATATGTGCAAAAGTATGACTTATACCAGGCAGCTGTTGCTACGTCAACATCGTAGAGCTGAATTTTGTCGGGAAGGTGGATCCGAAGCGACTGGAGCTTACCCTCATGCTCTTGTGAGAGGCTATAGGTCTTGGGCTTCAGGTCTTGCACCGACACCGCCTCAACATCTTCCTCAGTTGCAGCTTCTCGCACATGATGACCAAGACGGGACGAAACCACAGCGACGCTCAGAATCCAAAAAGTGACCGTCAATTCATGTAGGTCCAAGTCACTGTCTCCGGATTGATCCACACTCCACTCCTTGGCCGCTCGGCGTTACCGCATGGCCCGCCGCCCCCAACGAACACTGTCCACGACTGTTTCAAATGCAAAAATGCCAGTGTATGGTCCAAGCCTCGCAACGACGTCGCAAAAGGGATGCACAAAAATTGGTTGAGGCACGTCTCCAGCGGACAGCCGCACCAAAGCTGAGGTCTGCCGCAACACAGCTTGTTCAAGGATCCAGGTAGCGAGGTCTTCGTCAGAGGGCTTCGTAATATCCGAAGCCAAATCCTCGGGTTGCGGGTAATGCTCCGGCAAGCTGCCGACAGCAGCAGTGTCGATGACGATGGCACCGTGAGGCGTGGTAGATACCTGCAACAGCAGGCGGCAGAGACGGAAAAATGGGTGAATCCAACAGCCTTTGAACACGTTGGCACATTTGCAAACGGGTCACCAAGTGCTCTTGTGGCAGAAGAGGTTGTAAAGTCAGAGATGCACTCAGGGCTTCTGGATCTAGGCTCAGGACACCTCAGATGTGGTGAGTTGCACAGCAGAACCGAGGGGCAGGTGGTTGCTCCTGTCTGCCTTTCCTACGGTTGTCGACAACAGGTGCTGACACCGGAAATGGAGTCAACCCTGGTGAACTCTTGAACTCAGCTAGCAGGGGCTGAAGATCGGCGAGATGCAGCAAACCAGCTACGAGAAGTTGCGGTAGGAAGACGTATCAGCTCACAACAATGGATCCACACCAGTGTGCCAGTGGTGCCGTTCTCGTGGTACCGTGCCATGCGTTGAGGTAACCAGTCACTATAGTCACTAGCCACCCTTGCTGCAACACATTTTGAGGGTGGCATCCTGCGCCCAAGTCCATTCCACGAGCAACTCAGCGCTATGCATACCTATGGTTTTTGTCAGATCCCTGCCCACCCCTCTTGACATTACCACTAACGTTCCTTCTTGCGCCTTCCCTGCCGTTCAGTTCCAGTAAATTCGAGCAAGATAAGACAAACGCAGGCATGCGACCAAGATCCAGCCAGCCATCTGCACTCTGCCGAAGAACAGTGCCGTTCGACAGCAGTACCGCATCCTTAAGGCTCAGGAATTGGGTAGCGACATCACTCGCAAGTACGCTCGAAGCTGCGGAACTGTCACATCTTGTCGGTTTGGCTTATAAGATGAGACTTGTTCGTGAGACAATGCATATCCATGTATGCAATTCCGGACGGTTGTGCTGCTATGACCTTCTGCGGCTACCTGATCACATCACACAGTATTAGCACTGTGGTTTCTAGTCGTGTGGCTGTATATTACCCGTACGGGCGACATAGACATAGCTGCTTCAAAGGCAAACTTCTCGAACCACATGCTGGTCTGAGCCACTATGACCCCATCCTTCGACAGGGCGACTTCTCGCCATTCGCCCGTCGGCAGCACACCATCGCCAGCATCAGCAGTGTCACCAGAAGGCGTGCTGCACCATGCCCTGATGTAGCGGCGAGCACGATCAGTTCCCAGCACGGACTGTCGTTCAGCTGCCGGCGACAGGAAATGCATGAATTTGGGCAGGATTCCAGGAAAAGCTGGTGCTTGCTCCATCGGGCATGGTGAATCCCACGAGCACCTCCCAGCGGGTCCCAGCTCCCAGAAAATGAAATGCCTGGATCTACGGCCTCCGGAGAGTCGGCAGTCCGAATCATGGGCAAGCCCGAACGACCTGTGGCGATCGCTGCGCAGCTGCGAGGCACCGCGCGCTGAGGACCTGGCCCAACGGAACGAAGAAATTGGCCTCGCAAGGCAGAGAAAGCACCGGTGTCGCCCCGGCTCTACTGGCAGGGCCTTTAGGAACTTTAGATTAACGAATGCACAACCAGACTACGGACAACGAAGCAGCCGCCTCGTTGCTTGGCATTCGGATCACCGACGCCTTGGCAAAGGCTGCGTAAACTGTCTACGACGTCTACGACGCCTAATTACTACTGTAATAACATCTTGAACCGCCTCACTCACAACTTCTCAAGCGGAACCAGGTCTGGCCTTGCCCTCGCGAAGGTCAGCAATCCAACCATAGAAACGTCCACTGGGTCCCTGTCAGATCCGGGATGTACCACGGGAGATCATAGAAGGGGTCAAGCACAGAAGACAAAAGGCCTTCAGTTGTCCTCTTTTCCTTGCTGCTCGCTGCTCGCTCTCTCCCTCGCGATCTTTGCCTGGTCAAACGGCCTCCTGGGCTGCCGCTGCAGCTCCCTTTTAGGGTTTGCAACGCAACCACTGCCCGACCAAACTGCTATGTCGTGTGCAAAGGAGTCTGCCCCAGAGGCACCAGTCTCTTCAGAGTCTCTTGGACTTCCAAGTTCGTCGGGCACAGGCACCGAAGGAAGTGGCACACAAGAAACTAGTAAATTGAAGCATAACCTCTTGGTCTTACCTTGATCTTGTCAGCAAAGCAGAACCTAGGATTTTGGAGCAGTCGGTGTGTGAAACGCTGTGGGCGAAGGCCGGGAAGTGTACAATGCTGTACAATACCAACTAAAGTTCACAATGTGCATGGGCGAGTCACGCATATGTGAAGATCTCAAGTTCCTGGCAGATGGTGCAACCTGCCTTCAGTCTATGACGTTCGTGGTCCGCTGTACCGATCATGCTACTTTCCTGCAACTATTGCAAACTGGCGTCCTTGTCACCAGGATCGGAAATCGAATTGAAAAGCAACTTTGAGTCCGATTGATTTCCTGGCTGGCCAAAACATACGTGTGGCGTTCTAACGTGCGTCACCAGAGTTGTCTCGGACTTGCAGCTGAGCAGCCGTTCACAGCCACAATACGATCACCCTTGCTTATGGCGCCAGGCCTCTCCTGCCAATGGTCTTGAGATGTCTTGAGCTTGTGAGTTTTCACGTGCCCCTGAGACCTCTGAAGAACTCTTGCAACACAGTGGGGACCCGATGGAGGAACCTGGAAACATGCCGTGCCCAGTTGCCGGGATTCGAGAGACACTGAAACACGAGCTGGAGCGGGACATTCTCGACTTGCATTTACATAGACCATGGCCTTACCGGGAGCCGAGCTAAACACTGACTCTCGCATATAGAACATGCTGTGTTTTTTTGGCACCCTTGCTTTGTGCGTCACGCTTCTGGAAACCATGCTGGCCACAACTGCAGTGCTAATTTATCTGCGGGCTTTCCAAGGTCTTGAGATATATGTAGGCTTACTAAGTGGATGATCGTCAATGGTCTTTTCACTGTCTTTTCGGTCTGCAAACAAACACTCCAGGATACTCCAGGTTCGTTTGGCCAGTCGCAGGGCTTCCAAAAGCTGCTTTGAGTCTGTTTGTCGTCATCCTTCAGCACTCTCCTCAGAGGCAGCTCGGTGGACCTCTTCGAACTGCGCAGGACAAGGCGAGGATACCTCCACGTTAGCCGTTAGCCATATTTGCCATACAGAACATCGAGCATCCCGTCAGCGCTCAGGCTCAGCCGGATGCCCCAGACCGGGACGTGCTGCGACGGTTCAAGAAGGCTTTGGCTCTTCAGTCTCCCACGCCCGTGCGGCAAGTCCGCGGCACGTGCATTGGTTCGTCAAGTCGTCGATCCCATTAAACCGGCAACATGAAGCAATAACGAAACAAACGCGCAGCTCGTGCATGTTGGGATTGTCACTCGACGAGGCAGGTAGCAACGACCACGGGTTAGTCTCCTTGTTCAAGGAAGGAATCTGGCCATCTTCTTTCACTTCACTGACCTGCACTGTGTCTGAGCAGGGGGAGCGCACGCGAACTCAGAGCACAGCCTCAAGACCGAATCCATCCTGTAGCTCCGATACCTCTGGTCCAGTAGATGTGTGGGCGTGTGATGGTGTGTGGGTCGCTGTCGCTGCACAGAACCTTTACATGCTCTACTCATGTCCCGCGGCAGCAGTCTTCTCTCGACACGGCCGAGGCGATGGCCTTGATTCCTAGCTTCTGCTCTGCCTGGCAAATCCGTGCTGCAAGGCTTGAAATTCAAGTCCCGATTCGCGTGCTACAACAACGTCTGCAAGACAATGCGTCAATGGAAAGCCTAAAGACTGTCAAAAAGTACCCTGCAGATTGATAAGGTTGGAAACAACTGGGACTTAGAATGCACCACATACATTGTGTTGCTAGCCGACCGGCCTTGCATTGCAGCGCGACTCTTCCAGGACGCTGGATGTGCATCTGCACCTGTGTACACACAGCTGAAGAGGTACATTGATGAGGATAGAACTTCCCGTTCGAAAGCCAGACGGAGAGCATCCTGATAAGTAGACAGAAGTAGCCCCATCGTCAATGACTCAGGCAAGCACAAGACCCTGAGCATCTGCCAACTGCTGCGCGAGCTGAGATGGGGAGCTGTCTTTGCCGTTCACCTGACACCAAAAAGAGCACTCGACACTCCTCGACGAGCTTCAGTTACCCTGCATGCCCGGAGCCTGCACGATGCGGTCGCCAGGCCTTATCTCCTGGCGATGGACGTACCCATGCGATAAGGACTTCTCGAGACATTCCGTTCAAGCCGGCACCTTTCCATCGGCGTTCGATACGTTCCTCGGTTCGAGCTGCGGGCACTTGGGCGCATCCAGGAAGAATGCCTTCCATAAATAGCCATCTACATCCGAATCGCGAAGGAATGCAACATTGCCACCAAGGTGCCAGGAAGGAATCGCCCCCTGAGTAATAGCCTGCACATGTGAAATCAAGCAAGAACCATTTCGGCCTCGACGATTCTCGACGATTTCGGGGACTGAGTACTGTAAGCAAGACTGCAACACCTAAACAAGTATGTCATTCGAAACCTTTGAGTGCTTAAGTTCGAAGGCTTTTCCCTGTATTGTGACACGTGGTGTCTTGCCCCAGAGAGGTAGCAGTGTCCCGGCATGTTCAGGCTTCGAAGAGGAACAAACAGCGCAAACCTGAAATTTGGAAAACTGAGAGCGCAGCAACCACGAGGCATTTGTCGCTGACATATTCCACACGGATGCCCAGGGGCTTGCCGTCCTTGTTGACCTGATCACGACACCCTCAGACTCCCAGCGTGGAGACTTGAAATCAGGGGGACATGCAGATCAACTGGTGATTGGGTCAAGTCATGTCAGTCAATGTATCGGGAGCACCAAGGAGGCTGCCTCGCACACGAAGTGGCTTGGTTTGTCATCATCTTCTTGCACCTGAGACAGAGCATCCCTGGGAAGGAGAAGGCCTCAAGGCCCTGCTAGCGAGCACCTTCCGCGACTCTTCGACAGGCGCGTCGGCCTAACAGCAACGACGATGACGCTGTGCTAATCGCAAACGTGAAAGGACTCAGAGAGACATGTAACGGACGCAAAGCACGTTACCGCAAGCGTATGAGAAGCTGTCTTCGGCCTTACGACTGCCAGCGGAAGCCAGCATCATGCATAAGTAATTAACCGCCAACGCAAGTTCTGCTTCCTCGAAAATGATATCCCGCGGCAGAACATAAACCGGTAACACTATGTGTTGCGCTGATCTAGAATCCGTAAACATCGCTAAACGTCTGCTGACTTATAAAACCGCAAAAGCTTCTGCAAAGTTTGCTGGATGGAGCAGGCATCATCTATCTAACGAGTCTTTCGGCAGCCGTACTGGATAGGTGATGCTTGCCGTGTGAAAAATCAGAGTCGCGAACAGTGTTGTTGATGCCTCTACATTGCGTCCCAACACGGAAGCCTCTCGACACAGCATATTTACTCATTTGAGCAAGGGGGCATTGCATCATGGATACTCTGCGATGGTTGGCACCTTTGCTGAAAACGAACATCATCATAACAACATTCATCAACATCATCCCAAAATCATCATCAACATCATGATCAAGATGTCACCTGAGGATGATTGTAAAGAGACAGATGTTCTTCTTGATGATTATCTTCCTGTTGTTCAGGATCATGGTCATGATGATGATGATGGCGATGATGATGAGGATAACAATGAGGATGATCGTGACAATGTTGCTGCATCCTCCTGCTGCTGTTATGTGCTATGTGACAACAACCCGCTACAATACAAACACCGTTTGTACGACGTTTTTGCACAGACACAAAACAAAAACTTTAACAATCAACCCAAAAACAATCAACACCACGGGTTTTGCAACAAATCCACAAAAACAGCTTCGAAAACAGAAACAAAAATGTAAAATCCAACCAGCAAAAAACATGTCTCATTCAACAAAACCACACAAAAAAAAAACGAGGTCTGCAGCTTTTTCGCTTCAAATTCTCCCAAAAAAAAAGACTCACCCTTCGCGACGGCAAACGCGCCCACTACCTTGTTGTTGTTGGTGGTGGTGGTGCTGTTGTTGTTGTCGGCAGCACGTGCGTCTGGCGCCGCGCGCGGTGGAGCAAATTCGGAGCAGGCATGTGCTAAAACTCGAGTTTTGGCTGGATGTTTCTCTCGCCTCGGTTTTTACGGTGTTTTCGTCAAAAAATGGGCGACAAATCAGATGCACTGTGCAACAAATGTATCAGCTATCCCTTTTGCACTGTTTTTTTTCCGAAGTTTGCGTCTACATTGCGCATTTCGCATCGTTTTTTCCGGTCTGCACTGTGCCGAGACTCGATTCTTCGCACATGCTTGCTTGGGCTTCCATGTGTATGTGAGCTCCGTGCAAAATTGGGGAAGGGGGGATGGTGACGTCCATGCGAATGCGGATTGTTGTGTTGTCTTTCTGTTGTGCTGCCTTGGTGGGGATGGGGGGGATGGGGGGGGATGATGACGTCCATGCGAATGCGGTTTGTTCTGTAGGCCACCCAGAAGCTAAGAAACGAGAATAGGGCTGCTCTCTGTACAAATGACGCTGGTTCTGATGTTGATGCTGTTCATGTGCTGTTGCCTATGCTGACTGTTACTGCCGCAGATAACAATGCCGATGACGATACCTAAGCTGATAACATTGATGACCATGCAATGCAAATGACAATGTTGCTACCTGACTGAAACGCCACCAGTTGCTCACTGTTGCCTCCTCGTTGATAGCTTACTGTTGAAACGCCAACCATGCAAAAAAACTCGCGTTTTTTGTCATTTCCATACGAAAACTTTCAAAATGAACACAAAAAATCAAGCACAAGAAACAACGAAAAAGACGTTATTTGCGACATTTTCGCAAAAACCTCAGCAAATATCCAAGACAAGAACTTGGATAAATACATGCTCGCAAACAACCTCCCGCTCACGAAAACCACACAAATACCGACACTTTTGCGCTTTGACCCAAAAAAGGCCCCAAACATAAACGACACACCCCGCGCGGCGGCAAACGCGCCTTGTTTTGTTGTTGTTTTTTTTGTTGCAACTTGCTGCTGCTTCATCACACAAGCAAGCGTAACAAGCAAGAACGTCCCAATGGTTCAGCCAGGACACGACGGTGAGATCGCTTTGATGGACTTGCGAGACCTCGCTTGTGTGACACTGTTAGTTTGAGATCCGAACAGTGGGCATCCGCCTCCACCGGTGCGTCTTGCAGCGCAGGGTCCTCCGGAGCCTCGCGAGTTGGATGCGGTTTGCCACGCCATACGGACATCAACAGCAATTCAACACAGCGTGCCTTCCCCGGGGTGGTGCCGAGCTCCAATGCCTCGCTCGGAAGGCACTTTTGTCCGAGCCCCCCTTAAAGCGTTAGAGCGAAGGCAGCAAAGGTGAACGTGGAGGTCCGGGCTCGGGGTGAGTCTCCCAGCGAGATGACCTGTCAGATCAAGAACTGCTCTCTGGAGCCCAGGCCATCGGATGCCGAGCGCGAAACTTGCACGGCTTTGGTTACAATCTGGCATGACTGACCTCACCGAAAGCGGTTGAGCAGGAAATATGCAATTTGCAAAACCTCGGGTTCCCCAGCTCAATGGGCTCATGCCAGGGCAACTCTTGCAAGGCCTCGGCGACTCGAGGTGTGGCGATTCGACTCTGTGCACCTTCTCACGTCTCGGAGCCCCGGCTTCCGGCAATGGCCATCTACCCATACAGGCCGCTTGAGCCGGCGGCTGCACCACGGAACCACTTCGCACGGCCTTTTGCCGTGTCCGTTGGATCTTAAACCTTAAAGATGCTTCGCTGTTGCAGATTCTAGGTCAGAGAAATTTGACGGTGCAATCTAATGAAAAACTGCGGGACCGTCTACTCTTTTTGCTTTTGCCTTTGCTGGGGTGTTGCCGCCTGCGCCCATCCACCTCCCGACGGCTGAAATCGGCGAGGCACAATCACCCACAGCCAGGAATTTTGAATTTGGTTTGTCGTGCAGTCATGCGGGTTCCTCACCGGCCCTCTTTCGTGAAAAGTTGTTGGGCTTCTGCCACGTGCTGCCGCCGCAGACGCACCGTTGCCGCCGCTGCCAACCCCTCCCGGAACCGCCACCGGACGTCTCGGATCCACCTCCCCTCTCCTCCAGCCAAACGATTCCTTGAGGTGGTACCTCAGGAAATCCAAAGAATTCACCCCGCACGTCTGCAGCCGGGGGTGCCACAGCGGGATGGAATGGCTCAGACTCAGGCTTCACAACTCCACACAGCTCCCTGCCTAATGGCTTGCAGTGCCCAAGCGATAAGGCTTTTGGCTGCTTGACGCATTCACTTCCTTCCGCAACGGCCTCGTAGCCTGTGATGAGGAAGCTCCCGCTATCCAGCCAGAAAAGATCTCGAACGCCCATGATGCCGACCTTGTCCCTGTCGAATCCAAACATGAGCAACTGAAGATCTAACTTGCCCCGTGCACCTCGGGATGATTGTGATTCGCTCCACCTAAGAATCATCGGATGTGTAAAGCAGCCATCACACAATCAGCAACTCCTGTGTAGGCGACCTTCCGCTTCGCTGCACGCTGCGCGCCTTCCTGAGGGCCGGCTTGGTTCAGACCAACGCAGACGATTCGGTAGCAATGGGGTGCTATTCAAGCTCGTGAAAGTTGAAGCCGAAAACATACTAGACTGGATGCGCCTGGCTTCCGAACGATGGTGCTGTCTCCACGCGAATCCTTGGCCCAAAGCCCCATGGCGACATACATCGGGAAATCTACAACTTGTTCCAAGACCAGCCGGCTTTGATGCTTGAGGTCCAGACACGATGCCTGGTTCGCAGAATTCGAATCGAGCAGTACGCTCACCGTCAGGGCCTGGGTAAGTCATCCAGACAAGCGTGTTTCAGTCTTGCCACTGGTTGCAAGTTAACCACTACTACATAGGATCCCTGCTGAGGAGCAGTGGCTGCACGGTCGGCGTCAAAAATGGAGCCTGACAGGCTGAGTCTGGAGGATGGAAAGATGCAGCCTTGGAATGCCTTGGACTCACATGACCACCTTCAGCACAGTCGAGACCCGTGCGACCATGCCAGGACCGGACAATAAACCGTCGCGCTGCACGCAAGTCAGAGCCTCTGCAGTTGGAATAAAGTCCGCGCGGCTGCCTGCAACTTTCACACCACAGATCGACATAGTTTCTAAAGCATAAATCCCCTCCATGTGATGCTGCTTCCGTGTCCGAAAGCAGATGTTTGCGCACATTTGCATCTGAAGCTGAAGGCAAAACCCAACCTCGCTCAAGAATCTCCGACCCGGAATGTCGAGTCAAAACCCTCCCGGGTCTTCTTAGTACCACCCGGACGACCAGCACGACCGCTCCGCCGTGGAGAAACTCGAGGTCGTAGGCTGGCCACCGGACGAGGTCCCTGAGTGGTCATCATGCGCACCATTCTCCTAATATGCCACTTACAAATGTGACTAAGACTGGAACTGGTCGAACGATTGCCTTCACCGACAATCCCACCCAGCACTGCGCAAAGCCAAGACATGCCTGGCTTCTGCCGTGGTTTAAACGAGACTTTGCTGCGAGGAGTCTGCGACGGGTAGATATTCCTCAGGGTCGGACCGTGCAAGCTAGCACTCCGAACGTTGTTGGCGAGAATCCGTTGTGTCTCTGGCTCCTGACGTGGACCGATGCAAACAACAATGACTGAATTGTTCAACCTTGCGGAGACTTGTGGTGCACACACAACTGCCAAACTTATCTTGGGCACGGATGACAAGGGTACTGAGAAAAGTGGAGACGTGCCTGCACATGCCGTCTCGCTGCTTCTTATGTCTCCGTATGACGACAGTCCTTACCGCTGCATTGGACAGCATTGGGCCAATTGGGTATCAGTGCCTCAGAATGTTTACTAGTGTACATGTACAACCACGCTGGGGTGAACGGTGTCTCAATGCTGTGGATGCAGTGCCACATTGTCCCAAACCCATCCTTCGCGAGTGGACTCTCCGCTTTTGTACACGTGGGAACCTGCTTCTGTAAAGCAAACTGGTGTGAGCTGCAAACCTCTCCAAACAACAATGCAACATTACTCGCCTGTCATCCATCGGCACTCGATGCCTGACGCTGCACTTTGTTTACTCGAAGGGGTTATCTCTGCACCCCCTGTAGTTACGGTAGTTACAACAGTCACCAAAAAAGTCAATCACGGGTTAATGTCTCTTCTCCTGCAGCTTCAACAAGGCTTAAGTGGCTTCAGGCTTGCCACAGTAAGAATGGGCCCCTGACATCACAGAAGCACGGCATCGCGATTGATTGGCCACAGCAACTGCACAGCCAAATGCATCGGTGAGATGTGCTGAGGGCACACGTAACTTGCTGAAACTTTGGGACATTTAGGGCATTGACTCCAGAGCGTTCCTTCTGCACCGTCACAGGGTAAAACATCTCATGTCACATGTCGGAGCAGGACCCCATCGCAAACAGCAGGGGCATTTTCCCCCAGGCGCCAGAGGATTTTGAATGACGTGAAACCGCTGAAAGCACCTAAGCTTGCTGGAGCTTATGCAATTCATGTTGACCCACAACACAGTGAAAACGTCCGATGCTGTACCCAGTGTTGCCTCCAAGACTTGAACTCAGAAAATCTCAGAACACGACCACTCATCACGATGTGCCATCGAAAGGGTCAGGCCAAGGCAGCTGTCACACCGCGGCCTGTTCAGAGCGCTGACGATATGTTGCATGTGCGGGTGCCCCATGAGGACCGCGACAACAGCGCAACAACATCTGTTGTCAGCAAATCGCCCAGTCCATGCTACGACAATCACACGTGATGTGGCAACTAAGACCAAGCATATCAATGCACTGCATACGACAAGGCATTGCCGCAACGGTTAACATGCTGGCCTTTTCGGGGCCTTCCACGCACCGTAGCTTCGCCTGCAACAATCGGTGTTGACATACAATTCTGTGCTTTGGATCATACCATAAGGAGGCGGTGCACCTCTGCTTCATTGGCAGATTTGCTGAGCTCGGCTGCGGGCGTTTTTCTTTTTTGACCTGGGTCTTCGTGGTGGTGATCTGCCACAAAACAACTCCCATTTGCGGCCTTTCGGGACCCTCTGTTGCTGACTCCGCCTGGGCTGTAACTGTTTGGAATTCACGACCGTTTGTGCACGACTCACCAGCTGCCACTGAGTCTTCTGCGGATCCCTCTCACCCAAAGGCCAGCGCGGCCGAATTTCCACGTGGCTGTCAGCACCTGGGCATGGGAAAGCTAATGGGACCTGCAAACGGTCTCGGCAGTCTCGCATAGGCTGGGCCGGGCCTGGACATGTGCAAACGGTCCAAGCGGGGAAAATTTTGCTAAGTCGGCAGCTATCAACAGAAGGCGGCTCCTGGGCCCCAATTGGACTGGTTGGACACACGGCGGATGTAAGACATGTTACGGCAATCTCAACACACACACACACACACTCCGCACAGGTCTGATACTTCTGGTACACTACCTACAGTAGCACATCCTACACAGGAACCCCCCAGCTACACCACCGAGATTCACAGCAGGTAAAGCTAAGGTTTTAGCTTGGGCTTCCAACTGTTCGCTCGGACAGCTCACTTGTTTAGCGGTGTGGTGAAAGTCCCGGTTCGCCCCGAGAAGACTTTTACCGGCTGGCTGATCTGGCACTTCAAATTGCCCTCACTAGTAACTAGCTGTGGGGGTTTTCAACATAATGGCCTCGGATAGCAACTTCCTCAAGCCATGTGCCGCCCAACATTTTGATAGCACACTACCAGGTTTACGGGCAACACTTTCGATGTTTCAACTTCGGTTGTTTAGCGTTAACATGCACGGTCGCTCGGCACGAGTGCGTACACTAACTAGCACATCCTACCCACCACCTCCCAGCTACACCACCGAGAGTCGTAGCAAATAAAGCTGAGGATTTAGCTTGGGCTTCACGCTGTTCGCTGGGACAGCTCACTCGCTTTAGCGGTGTGGCGAAAGTCCCGGTTCGCCCGGAGAAAGCCTCTAACCTCCTGCTAGCTGGTCTCCTTGCGCAGCCGTAAGGCTACCAGGGATCTAACTTCCGGGTACCGCGGAGCCTTCGGTCCTCTTTCTCACTCCTAGCCTCCTAGCTCTTCAAAGTACTTCCCCCTCCAGATCGATCCTGACGTCTGGTCGAAGCTAGCAAAGTTCTTGTTAGTGAGATCGTGCGCTGGTTCAAATCCCAACGGATCCACTGTAGCTGGAGCTCAAAAATCTTGGCCGATAGCTCCTCAGCCAGCTCCATGACCATGAGGATTACCGTGTAAAAAAATTGGTGGTCATCGCCTTCCGGAGCAGTGCCTAGTTGGAATGATCGTCCGTGTCGCCGCGAATGGCCACTCGGGATGTCTTCTTGGCGTCCCCTTCGGGCACCCAGAGACCAGAGACGCACACTCACCAGCCTAGCCCGGAGCTCTAGTGCAGCGATGACTTTGTTGGAGTCACCTCCTCGGTGTCGACTTGGCACCCGAGGTAACCGTGTTCCTTGGCATCGTGCTTGTAGCGACCATGACGTTTTTTTGATGTCCGCACTGTTGATTCTTATGACCTTGTTTTGGCACTGGGATACGGCGGTTGACCCGCACCCCGCGGGTTTCGGGACCCACGCTAGCGAGGCCTCGCGAGGCGCATTTTCCAGTGGGCATTTCATCTGCTCCTCATTTACCTGAGGAGTCCTCTGTAGCGGCTCCAAGATGCCTACCGGTTGACCCTTTCGCCCTCCAAAGGAAGTCCCGGTCTGGGTCACCGTCTCCAACATCTTTCGGTATAGCGCTGGCCCCAAGCCACACCTAGCAACTCTGGTTCCGAAAGGTCCTGGGCGTCCAGCCACGAGCGAGGGCACCGCACAGCGGCCATCTTGAAGGCCCCTGAAAAAGCTAGTCCTCGCAACCCACCATAGGGAGAACAAAATCCAACATATTGCTCCTTAACAACTCGTAGAAGGAGCCCTCGCGGCCAGGAGCTGGTGGGGCCACCGCCCAAGCGAGCATAGCCTTCCCTTCATGGAAGTCTTTGCTCCCTCCTCGCTCTTAGAAGCGAGGAGCCGGAGGCCCCGTGGCACCTTGTATTCCAGCCTAGCACCCTCCTCCAACCAACGGCATCCTTAGCAGAGTGCTGGCAGGAAGAGAGCAGCATAGCAAATAGCCGGGCCACTGTTCGGACCCAGTAGTTTTAAATGCGACTTGGGCTTGTCTCTGGAACATCCCTTGTAATCTTGTGCAGACGGCAGCGGCCCTGCGTAGCAGCCGCTTTCACCACATAGCTCGGTGCCCCTTCATAGACCAAGTCGGGCATAGCCAGGGGCGTTTGCAATAGAAGCCGCGTGGCCAAAGCTAGCTTGGCGAAAAGCAACAGCCGGTAGGCCCTTCGCGAAAAGGTCGACTAGCTGCGACATCGAGGCGGGCCGCTCTTCGCGCGGACCGTTCGCCAGCGCGCCCAAGTCCTCGGGCTGCTCCATAACCAAAAAGGTAGCAGCGCCGGCGACGAGCCTGTGATAGCGCTGTCCCTTTCAGTAGGTGTGGTGTAAGAGTTGCGAGCCCACGGGGCATTTAGCAGTTTGGTACCGGCCGGGCCCACGAAAGTTGGCCCAGGTAGGGCGTGAGAACCTCGAGCACGGGGGACTGGCCCAGTCGAACCAGAGTGCTTCAGGCAGCTACATACGCCGCTCCCGGCTGCTACTGCGCACACAAGTATGACCACAAATTTGCTAAGCACATGATAGAAATTGTCATCGCTCGCCTTCTTCGAGCCAGAAAGCGGCGCGCCACGAATGATAATGCTTTTCATGTGCTTACAAGCTTCCGAAGCACCTTGAGAAAGTCAGCAAAAGGCTTGGGCCGCATCCAATTAGTGCCTCCAAGCTAGCGTTCATGGAGCAGGGGCCTGCAACTCCTAAAGAATTGAATTGGTCCATGATTTGATAATACTCTTGAAAAGCCTTTCGGAGATCGTGCGAATATGTCGAAGCTCTGGGTTGACGCAAAAAATAGACATCTTACTGGTGACGTGCTTCGTAACATGTGAACAAGATTGGAGAAGTCGACTGTGGAAAGTTCCTCGCATGCCCACGCGTTCGGTTGCTGCCCCACCGTCAGCACGAGCTTGTGCGTGGCCGATTAAATGACTAGCTGCTTAGCTGCGTAGCTCCTATGCCGACATGTCTCATAGTCATAGGCATGCATGCGACATTGTGACTTGTTGATTGCTTGGCATCTCTGTCCTCGAACAGGCCAAGGAGCAAGCGCTCAATCCCGGCCCAAGCCTCCACAATTCAGATCTGGATGCTCTACAAGCTCTCACACATACTCCCCCAAGCCCAGCACCACCATGACACCGTTGTCGACACAAAGCCTTACAAGACTGCACATACACACACATGCACACACACACACACACACAACGGTCTGTTGTGAACTCGAGGCTCAACCGCGGCGGCGGGCAAAACATCCGTAACGAGTGCTCCCTGGCAACCTCAACGACTGATCAAGGAGTGCTTGCAGTGCAACAGAATGAAGCGCAACATCACTTCTGAGGCACCTCTTCCAAGCCTTTGCGTACGGCTTGGTTGGCGGCCACACCGCCAGCCACCACCTCGGCTGATTTGGTCTTGCTGAAAGCATCTTGCTGCAACAGTTCCTGTCCATGTACACCTCTTTATGATGACCATGCGAAAGGCTGCCAACGTGTCATGGCTGTTCCTCACATGTCTGGGACCTTTGCGAGACATTTGGTATCAGGCTCGAGCTCAAGAGCCCAGCCTGCACACCGGCAAACACAAGCTTGCAAAGGTCCCGTGTCTGACGACTCTGAAGCCTGCAGCTCGTGAGGCTCGTTCGCACAAATGGTGCACCGCCATTTGCTGGAACCTCGGCATCTTCCAAAACCAGCGAATTGTAGCTTGCGACAGCCGAGGCCCCAGACGCGGCAGCTACATCAGCTTTGGCTTTGTGCAGCTCCTCCTGTCAACAATGCACAGGCAGAAACAGGCAGCACAGGCAGGAAAAGGACAGCAAAGCCGAAAAGGACAGCTCAAGAAGGCCATCATCCTCGGACAAGGTGTCCGCCTTTGCACTTGGCAATTCCCGTTCCACCAGCGTCCTCTCTCCACCAGACTCTCCAGACTTGGACTGGTATCCCGAAGCTCCCTGCCAGACCTCACCGCGGTTTTCAATCCGGAAAAGGAATAGTTGCAGCCTTCCTGCAATACCTGAGCTCAGCCAGAATGGAACCTATCATCCTCAGAACAATACCCGCCTTGTCTCTGGTTTTTGCAAGCGGCTTTGGGAGTGCATGTGCCTACCACTTGATCACAAAACACTCTGAATGTCACTCTCACTCTCCGTG